AATTATATAAAGAGTTTTCTGGTAGCTTTAAGCTGAGCTTTAACTGAGTTTTTTCATAGACAAATTGCTTTGTTGATCGTTGATAAATCGGAATTCAAGACAATCAAAACGAATGGTCACAGCCTTAACTTAAATATCTGTCCAGTCGATGGATGGATCGTAAGAGCGAGCGCGAGACCACTCTCACTCTCACTCTCACTCGCTATTTACACTACTCACTGTATATATATTTAGTTCTAGCCTTCTTAGTTGCTGCAATTCTCTCACGCTCTATCCATCACTTGAACTCGACTGGGCAGCTGCCCGAACTGCTCGTACGCTTCCCAATTTGGTTAATTATGCTTGAGCTGATCATCATAGCTATTAATTAGCTAATCGTTCTTGAAATTACTCTGCAATCGCTTACAAATAAATTTAACTTTTTCTTCTTTTAAACATTTCCTCTAAATTAAAAATCAACAGATATTAAAGCGCTTAAAAGCTTAAGTTGACTTCTTTTGTTGCTGTATCAATTTATTCGATTACTTGCTGACTTTCACTTAGCAACAAACTTTTAACATAACATCCTTTAAAAAAAAAAGATTTATCTCGTATGAAAAATAAATATATATTTACTACGCGTCACCGTATGTAAATTGATTTATTTTTTTCCTTTATAAATGATGCTTGTTTGGCCAAAATTTGCATACTTTTTACCTTAATGAATGATATGCAAATTTGAAGATGTGCATATGTGTGTGGGTGTGGGTGTGTGTGTGTGTGTTTGTGTGTTTGCGTTTTATATTCCATTTTTTTGTTGTCGCACATATTTATTTGGATTTTCTTGGAATATTATTTTAACCACCTTCCATAATTTTAATTCCCGTAGACGTTGACAAAAAACAAACACAAAAATGCCTTCACAGCCTTCGTCCAAATATAGAAAAAGTCATGCATTTTAATGTACATTTCTCACATCGTTATTTTCAGCGACATGTCCCTTAATTAACTACAAGAACAAAATCCAATCAAAATCCTGTGAATGCTGCGATTTTCTTCATTGTGATTTTCTGTTTGAAAATTTGAATTTTACATAACGTATACGCCGCATGGTACCGACACGATAGGTTTTTGATAAATATTCTCTCTGTTCTCTGGTGTGTGTGTGTGGCTGTGCTCGACTGTCGGGTGTTGGCTGTCGGGTCTCGGGGCTGACAAGTGGCTACCATTTTTTAATGTCACTTTTTTGTTGGACGCTTGGGGGTTCGGTATCGGTGTATCGGGGGTATATAGGGGAGGTTGAATGGGTATTCCTTACTGCCCAATGGAGCGTACATTTTGAAATTGAAATCAGAAGGAGAACGATGGAGAGAAGCACAATATACAGGCAAAGGCACAGGCACAGGCAGAAGCACAAGTAGAGGCATGGAGCAGCAGCGGCAGCAGCCGTTGCCAGTTTCTTCTTTATCTCTCTCGCCTGTCAGTGGATGCTTCATTGAGTTTTATGTGGAAAAATTCGCAGATACGCTTGCGTATATACATATATAATATATCCTATATATATTTAGTATGTATGTATATGTGTATGTAGCCTGACCAGGCAATATCTCGTAAAACTTGCAGCGGCTTCTTCAGCTCCGTAAGCCGTTTAAGCGTTCGCACAAAGTGTTAAGTCTCTTACTTTGTGTTGGCCCTTGGCCCACACTAACACCTCAGTTCTTCCCCCTCTCAGTCCTCTCGTGATTTAACCGCTTTGTTCCCCCTCTGGCGTGGCCAAGTTTATATCTCCTTGGCGGATGTTTGAATGCTTTATAATTACATTTTATGTGCCATCGTTGGGTCTGGCAGTATATACAGCAGGATGCCAACAGGTGCAATTCATGGAGTCGGCTCGGAGTCCAGTACGAGATTCCAGTACAGATTCCGGGCCACATACCGAGGCTGACTGTGGCACAAAGTCCGGGCACAGAGCCCTTCCTTTGGCCATCGTTTATTTAATTTACAGTCTTGATTGAATGTTTGCCTTCGGCTCAATGGATTCTGTGCTGTAATTGCTCTCAGCTTATGCCCCACCGACCCTCTATGTATTTCAACTCTATCCATGCTACTCTGAAGGATACTTACTAGATTTGCTCTGCTCCTAAGAGTCACACAAGTGGACGAACAATACAAGTAAGTAAGTCTTATCCTTGGGGGCCATCCATGCGACTCTCTCTGTCTGTACTTCATACATTTACATTTACATTTGCGACATGTTTACAACCTCGTTTGAGACAAGAACTTTTCTTTTTGTTGTTCTGTTTTTTGGTTATCCAACCACACCGCAGGGTGACCTCCTCCGGACGTATTTTAATAAACAATACTTGGACCCATTGTTAACCGCAATAAATCCGCATCCAGTGCCGGGCACAAGGCATCCTCGTACTCGTAAAGCGACGCCATTGTCTCCCTCACTCTTTGTAATGAATGCCGAGTGAATGCTAAGTGAGTGCTGCCGAATGAATGCCGAATGCCAAAAGAATTGAATCAATTCGATTAAGCGCCAAATTGATTGGCAATGATGCGTGATTGATTGCCAACTGATTGAATTGGCGCACAGCGTGAAACATGGTCGCTGGAATGTTGATTGATCTGTGGTCGATTGATTTCTCAGGTTATTATTTTAATGGCTGATTTTGCAGAGAATTTAAATCACAGATGATTGAGCCAAAAGGTGCGAGGTAACCTTTGGCTAGCGTTAATGATTGAAGCTCAATTCAAATCAGAGTTAACGATGCAAAATGGATATGATCAACAAAGTGTTCAGATTGAATGATTGCTAATTGATACGAATTTTTATTGTTGATTGATGACGCCTTTTCAGCACTAATAAATGGCACTGTCCAGCGGCTAATCTGCTTAGGAGACACACACACACACATGAACACATTTATAGATGGGTTGATTGTCCTGTAGACCATACTATCCTGTATAGATTAGCACACCAATCAATCAGGGGCCATCAATCACTGTGTGCTCTGGAGTTGAGTAACTTCTCCATGCAAAGGCTTCAATTACGCCCCCAAATCAAACTTGCCACAAAGTTAATGAACTTTTGCTTGCCCCACAGAATATACCACAGACACACACACCCACACACACATGCACATACACACACTTCTAGGCACTGCCATCCACTATCCACTATCCACCAGCCACTCAGCCACCCCTTTCCATACAAATCTCGAGACTATTTATTGTAGATGACTTTGGGGCGAAAAGTTTTGTATTTAACTGCAAATGGGGTGTGTATATACATATGTGTATGTGTCTGCGTGTGCGCTGCTCCAACAATATTAATTTGAATTGCAATCCAAACAAGAGAAGAAAGGTGAGAAATTTGTGGACCGAAGCTGTAGATACCCTGGCAGATTTTCAAAACTAAATGAAAGTTTGAAACAATTTTTTTTTGCTTGGAATATGCATTGGAACTTAAGCATTTTACACTTCCAAGTCGCACATAGACTGACGTTAACGTAGATTTATCAATAAAAGAGCTTCAGCTGAGAAAGAACGTTCCACGCAAAGCGAACATGAATTGGAAAAGTAAATATTTGATGATCTTTTTCACAGATGTGCCTGTCCGTTCTATTTCTTATACATATGAAACATATTGGCTCAAACAGCTTCACATATATTGATGAAAATTTGAATAAAAACATTCTTAGATTTGCACAATTAAATGCAGAAAAATCTCACTACGCTGAATGCACTCAAATTATAATTTCCTGCAATTAGAACCGTTAATTTTAATTTTTTTGTTTTTTACCTAAACAGCTTTGCCTTTTCGGTTGAGGTAGTTATGCTGTAATTATTTTAAAGTAACGATCCCTTGCTTTTATTGGGGAAATAGTACAGCTTTCATTGGAAATACTTTAAGGCAAATATAAAATCAAAATAACCCTTGCAAGGGTATAACAAGTGGGCGTAATAGACACACAGAAGCGAGAGATAGAGAGAGGCAGAATGGAGGAGTAGATTGTGGCTGCCCTTTAAACGACTTTTGCTCGAGGACTTCAGTTGAAAACTAAACCGATCCAAAGGCCCAAATGAGCTGAAAGTTGGCCGACACGCACACACACTAGGCCACTAATGCGGCACATTAAATGTTTGCCTGGCTGTGCCTGTATGTGTGTGTTTATGCCTTTAACCTTGTAACTAAATTGTTAGACATTTTAATTAATTTCCACTTTAATGTTTACTTAGCTAAATGTTTTCTTCGCTGCAGGCAAGAACGTCAGAAACAACAACAACACCAGCAGCAGCAGCAGCAGCAGCAGAAGATACAACAGCTACAACAGATACTTGTAACTAAAGTGACATGAGGCCTTAGCAACAAAAGCAACACCCAAACAACAACAACAAAAGACAACAGCAACAACAGAAGCAACCGTAGAGCACTAAAAACCAAATTACAAACAATTAAAAGAGAACACGGAGAAGGATCCTCCAGAGAGCTTGACAACGGTAGAGGCGGCGCACCCACAAAGCTAAAAGGAATAACCCCCCGACCCACAGCCTGAAAACCCCCCAGAAAAGTAACAGAAGTGGGCGGAGCAGCAGCAACGAGGAGGAGGCAGAGGAGGAGGAGTAGCAGCAGCAGCAACTGTAACAAGTAAAACGGAAGGTGGATGAGTAACGCAGCAGCGGCCTACATGCCCCAATGCCAGCAGCAGCAGCAGCAGTAACCGAAACAGCAGCAGCAACGTTTATGGACAACTTAAACTAAATAGCGGCCACCCCAGAAACCAAACCAAACCAGAGGAAAGACCCCCGGCCAGGGCACAGAACTAGCAGTGGTGACACATAGTTCATCATCTGCATTCCAACCATTTGCCAGGACCTTTTGTGTCTTTCTGTCGCATCACAAACAGGCACACACAAACAAAAGCAACAACAACAACAGGCAAAGGCAAAGGAGGTGGTGGGGGTGGAGGAGGAGAAGGGGACGGAGAAGGAGAAGGAGGAGAGGGAGAGAGGAGCAGGAGGAGGAGGAGGAGCACTAAGGGCGGCAATAAAAAGTTTGCTTTGTTTCTGGGTGTCGACACATTCTTGCTTTGCTCTCACACTCTCTGGCCAAAAACGCCTACCCTCCTGTTAGCCAGAAAACCCAAAAACGGTGTCGTCCTTGTCAGCCGCCTCTGGGCACTCAATTAAGCCCAATTCAACGTAACTTGAAAGCGACTACAGCAACAATAGCAACATCAGCAGGAGCACATCGAGGAACAGCAGCAGCGCCAGCGCCAGTGCCAGCATTAGAGCAGTGAAGCGACCACGCCCACGCAGCACACACACACAGAAACACAGCAACGTAGCAGGCAACAGCAACACTAACTACAAGTGGCAACGCCCACAGAAGGTGGGGGCGTGTGGGGCATCGAGTTGATGCCACAATGAAACTGAGCGTGAGCGCGTATCGGGCGCATGCATCCGCACACAAGAAGATCCTCTCCAGCGGCTATCACTCACAGCTCAATTACGGCAGCACTGGAGCAGCAGCATCCTCCTCGTCATCGGGGGCCACTGCAACGGGCCTATATACGGTGAGTCATTCACTAAAGGTAGATACAAGAATGAATGTATAGGCCACAGCCAAGCGACTGAACGACTGACCCCACCCTAACTCTCGTCTATCCCTCAGTCTGTTCAGCATTTGCCAGCTGGAACCATAAAGCATACAATTTAAACATTTTTGATTATGCTTTTTACGATTATGTCCCCATGGTGGCTATATTTTTTGATATTGATATTTGCTGCAGAAGGGTATTTGATGCGTACGGGCTGGGCATATGCATTGAGCCAAAATGTGTTAAATAAACTTCAAAATAAATGCATAAATTGTCAATGATTTTTAGCATAAAAGTCGGGGCTTTGTCATACCTTGAATGGAAGGAAGCCTTATTTCAATTCCATCGTTTGATTTATTCCCATTTCAATTAAATTGATAAATTGAATAACTTTTGGCCAGGTTCAACTCACAAATGAGAAGTGTAAGTTTTGTCATTTTAAAATTGAGTTAAAGATTGGGTTGAAATGTCAAAACTCTTGCAAAGAAATGACTGGCAGGACTTGCACTTACAGTTCGTCCCTGCAGCAGTTGCCTGCCAAAAGCTGTTGCCCCTTGCAGTGATCCAGCAGTTCCTCTTAAATATTTATGTTCAGTGTCCAATTTCCAAGGGTTTTGCCAGCTCAAGCCACCCAATGAGTTTCTGTGAAATTGTTGCAGCAGCTTTCATTTTCTGCGAACAATTTTTCATAAAGACGCAACAGCTTTTCCGTGTAACACGTCGAATGCATCAAAGCAAGGATTTAATGCCTTTTTGAAAAAGAGAGGGAGCCAACCTTTTGCCAATGCAATAATTACGATTCCTGAGAAACTTTAGGCAATGTCCGAGCAGCTTTTCTGGGAAATTAAAACAGAGCATTTGCCATTCGTTGTTGGTGTCCTCACCCACTGATGAATCGTGGCCGCCATCAGGTCAACCTGTTGTAAATTATTCAAAAGTGAACAACGAAAACCAAGCTGGCCCACAGCCCGTCTGAGTTATAAAAAATTGGTTTTGTGGCTGAATGCAATTTGTGTCTCCTCGTTGCACCCGTGAAATGTCCTGCACATAAACTGAGCAGGAAATTGGAGCTGCTACCCGTAACGCATCGTATCCGACTTTTCATTGCCTTATTAAAACGGAGACCAACATCAGCAGGAACCCCCCACCAATTCACTTTTTAGTCCATAAGAGTTTCGGTCATAAATATTTATGGAATCCCTTTTGTGGGGGCGAGCCCGCATTCAGTCCCAGAATGTGAACCACAATAAATTCCAATCAAGTTTTGTGGCACATACAATTGGGATGTCCCTATGCTGGAGTGGAGCTTAATCCGGCCCTAAACCGATTTGTCAGCTAATTGGTGGGAGCGGCATACAAATCCCGATAGATATGTTATGTGGTTTCTCCCTTTTCCACCCTTTTTAGACCGAATGCCAAATTGAAACTCTCTCCGCTGGATTATCGCCGGATTACGTAACGGACACACACGGGAAGGACACTGCCAATGTCTGTCCCCATGGGCGACCAGCTCTCAAGTTTACCGCACTCGAGGCAGCGGGGAGGTACTTGCCCAAATTCTTTGGCGGCATGACCCGAACTTGGCTGTAAATTTGTAATGGGTTAGTGGACAAGTGGCCCAACAACACTGACCAAAGGTTGTTATAGCAAAGAGGAACGGGTATGGGGTGCACTCCACTCTGATTTCATTGCCACAGTTACGCAAAGTTCGGGAAAACTTGTTTATGCCACACAGACTAACCTTTGATAGCCGATGCTTATTGGCACAGATCCCGGGCTAATGTTCGAAGGAGGAGGAGACTTTGATTTAATTTTAGCTTTTCCGCAGCTTTGGTAAAGGATACCAGCAGCTGTAACAGGATTATGATTCCATTCACGCTGTGTATGCCCCTAATCGATGGGCTTAAAATATTTTCTAAGCCAAAAGAAAATTAAATTGAATTTCCAGTGGTTTTTATTCAAGGAATTATTTCGTGTAGCTATGGAATATATTTATTTGCAGTAAAAGAAGTTGGATGACCTTTGCTTGCCCTTTTCTGAAAAATCAATAATTATAATTAAAGCAGATTCAATTTTTATCTCAAGTTCGCAAGAAATTTCTCTTTACTCTCTTTAAGCTTTGAGTCGATAAAACTTCTACTCCAACCTTCAATCGGTTGTCACGGAAATATATGAACTGATTCGTACTTTTTCATTAGATGAATTCCGAGGAAATACTCGCACGCGTAGTGGACTGCAGCGTACAAATGTTGGCCAATTCCAGCTAAAGCGGAATCTTATGAACAATTCACCCCGAAATAAATTGCCAACTGATTCAAATCTAACTCGAGAGCTGCGTTATTACGTACTCTGATTTGCTCAGGCACTTCGGCAGAAGCTACTGACACTGAGCTGCCAAATGCGATAAATCTGCTCTGCTCACCTGAAACCCAGCCCAGCCCACTGTCGCCTGCCCTCACATTTTCCTGCTCTGCTGCCTTGACAACTGCTTAGGTCGAGACTGTGGGTCTGTAGTTGAGGAAGTTTTCGTGTCGGCAGAAATAAGATAAATTATTAAGTATCGTCATCCGATTTAGAATGCACCAGGGGGAGGCCAAGCGGGTAACGCCTGGATAGTTGTTTAAAGGCTAACGCTCAAACAGATTCTGTTGCTGGTTGCTGGTTTCTGGTTGCTTTTGCTGTTGGTATTCCTGAATATTGTATTTGTTGTCAAATTGTCTGCACATAACACTTGCCCCGGGCTCATTTGGAGGCAAATTTGCATAATAAGCAATAAGGATGCGCTCAATTACACATTCACACATGCACACACAGGACCATGGGCTGGAGCAAAATGGCTGCGTGGCATCATGACACCATGACACCATGACACAGACACATCGATGTGATGAACCCAATTAATATAATCGACTTATTCCCATGATAATCCTCTTTACTCGGCAGATGGAAACGCACGAGCACGGCGAGCATGGCACTGGGAAGTTCGTCAAGGATGTGGCACGCCAGATTCACGACTGCAATAGCGATACGGATGTCATCAGTCCAACGGGGACCAGTAGCTCTGGCGGTGGCGGTGGTGCTGCCGGTGGCGCAGCCACAGGCGAAAGCTCTGGAGGCCATCACAAGCGACACCATAAGATGGCCCATGACGATGATAACCACAGTGCGCCGCATTCCTCGGATAGCAAGAGTCCCAGTCAGCGGTAAGTTTAGGCCACAAAAGGGCCAAGTCAACACTCACACACAAACACCGACACCCACACACACATACACTCGTATACATTGACACGTGCATAACTGTAAAATAAAAGTTGAAAGCGAAAGCGATGGAAGGAAAAGGCAGGAGAAGCAAGCAACAAAGATGATTTATTCAAATCGCAGGCGTAAAAAGATTGTTACGACAAACACTCACACTCACACTCACAGACATGCCCATTCACACTCATACACATGTAGACATTGCGTTTACATATATATAGACACGTGCAGTAAGCGTAATTGATAAATGTGTAGCATACTTTGTTGGGCTTCGTTCGACGCCGCCTCGCCTAGCCTCTCGCAACTCGCCGCGCCGCTCCATGCCAGCTTTGGCAGCTTTATGTATTTATTTAACCGTAAGCTACATTCACATCCGTATTCGTATTCTTATGCGTATTCGTAGCCGAAAAAAAAATATATATATAAACCAAAAACAACAACAACGACAACAAACTTGATTCAATTAAATCTAATTAGCAATTAGCCAGCGCCAACCCCTCACCCAAAGGCGTGCAGGCGTACACCACTCGTACATTTGTACAACACAAATATTTTTGAGGTTGGAGCTGGAGTTGACACTGAAAAGAGGGATGGGAGCAGCCAAGGGACGCGGGAGACCTGGGAGCTGGGGATAGGGTTTAACATCAAAAGTTTTCAGTTCGTGTCTTGGTTAATCTAATCAAAAGTCTTGGATTTGCAGAAGTAAGGGAGCTATACACAGCTACAGTGCGTTTCTTAGCTGTCCGTATAGCGTATTAGGGAAAGAGAGTAAAAACTGACAATTTAAAGTGCGAGTATTGATGAACAAATTGGTAGCTGAAGCGAAAAGAAAATCGATTTAAAGGCGAAACGATTATTCGAAGTTTATTTTTCTTTCAGCTTACTGTTTACTTAAATTGTATGTGTTAAAGTGATACATTAATTACCATTTGGCTTTCGTATTTGTAGAGAAGCCGATAAATCGATAACAACCGATAATCGATACTCAGCTGATTCGATAATCGACTAAAAGAACTCAAAAATAACTCAGTTATTGCACAAATCGACTTCTAGATGTCGCACAGTGTAGTCATACAGCGCTGAAACGCACTGTATGTGGAATTTTGAGGCTGCGGCTTCAACTTTTTATGCTCTTGCAGCTGAATGGATCACACATACACACACAATCAGCTCACACACAGAAAAACAGGAAGAAACGTGGACAGGAACAGGAAGACAGGAACAAGGGGACAGAATAACTTTTGTTTGTGTTTATTGTGGTGACAAAAAGGAAATTAGCAATGACAATTAGTCGAGATTGCCCATGTCCGTGTTTCACTCTGTGTGTGGTCTGGTGTGTGTGCGTGTGTGTGTTCTTGTACATGATTTCATTAATTAACCAAGACAAGAATGAGAGACTGAAGCCAGGCCATGAGGAAGAGTTACTGTCCCAGGAGACACATACACGAAGAGAGAGTTAGTGACTGCTGCGGCTACTCATGCCCTAATGGGCCATCACAGTTCGGGGGTTAATCTCTTTAAGCACGGCCACTCAGCTCCACTCCAACCATACTCGTACTCCCACTCGTACTCTCCATCTCTCAAACCACCATCAACGAACAGCAAAATTTAATCACTGTAAGAAATTCTCGCATCGGATCGCATATGGATTTAGATCGGCCAGCTCGTCCCAGCTGGCTTGTGGCTGCACACCCAGTAGTTTAAGATACACAGAGAAGGATAGACTTATATTGACGACGGGACAGCGACAGCATCAGCAACCGCGACAGCGCCGTCAGGTGCGGCTACTACAAAACAGTCCGTCCTCCGACCAGAGCAATGGCACCGTCGTGGCACAGCGACTGATAAACTCGGGCAGCTGCACCAAAATGAAGACGCTCTCCTCCTTCATCAGCGAGCATCCCGAGGAGCTTGCACAGCCGTCACGCGTCCAGGCCCACGCAAATGGAAATGGGAATGGCCAGCAGACGACCAAGTGGAAGAGCCTCAGGGCCGTGATGGCCTACTACTGCTCATTGCGACGCATCAAGAGGAATGTTTCTACACTAATCTAACTCTAGTCCGTATACTCGTGCATACTAATGTATATGCGTATAAAGTCGTACCTACCAGTACCAATATCTGTTTAACTGGCGATTCAAGTTTTTCTAGCGTTATCTCTAACCTATGTTTTTTTGTGTGTGTGCGTGTGTGTGTAAACTTGCTCTCTTGCATTGTGTGCGTGTATGTGAGATAAATCTCCCCTCCCCCCCCCCCCTTCTTGCTCACCATTCACAGAAAATAATCGAAAAGCCCTCGCCTCAATATGCCCCCTCGATATACTAACCAACCGACTAACTCTCATTGATCGCTCTCTCTCTCTCTCTCTCTGTCTCTCTCTCACACACACCCACACACTCTCGTTGTCTGTGTCTCTGTAACTAATTACTAACCCGATCTTATCGTAGTGTATGAACCTATGTGTAACTATCTGTTAATCTCATATAAATCATTGATGTGTAAGCGAATGCCAGACCTCTCTCAAAACTTAAAACTCAACTCAACTCTTATCCAAATCGCTCGTTCGCCTGCTCGCTCATTCGCCAAGTCTCTCCCACAGCCCATCTCTAGAACTGTTCATTTTTCTCTCTGCGTCTCTCTTTCTCACACTACCTATGTGGGGTCATTCCAGGGCGGTTTGATTAAGTCTTGTCAAAAGAAATTTCTATGGGAAACTTTCTTCTACGGTTTATATGTTTTTTTTAGGTTTTGCAAATCTTTGGATACAAATGTGATTACCCATGTCAGTAATAAATTGATGTTTATGCTTGTCAGGTAGTTGCAGTTAAGAGGAAATTGTCCTACCTCTTTATCCATCCACGCTTCCATTCGGAAGAGAATTTTCCTCGTCAAAACAGGGCTAAGAAACGGCTATCAGTATGGTATACAGGTTACAAAAGTGTTTACCACAAAGTGCATAATACTGGAGGGTTAGCACTGTATTATTGAACAATTGTTAGGTAAATGTTTCCCCTTCAAAAACTATAAAACTTTCTCCACACACTCTCTCGCCTCATCAGTGTTGAAAAGCGTTGGTCGGTAATTTTAAACAAGTTCATCAGTTATGCATATGTCCTGTGCCATGTGTAAGAGAGCTAACACTGTAACGATTTTTGTTTCAGCACAAAACTTAAAAACTTGTTTGTAACTCCGCGGGGACTTGCTCGTTTAATAAGTGTTGGAAAGTGCGTGACACGAATTTGCATATATTAGCCATATGCATAATATATGTATGTATGTATTTCACATATGGGGGAGGAGGTAGCACTGTATTGTTAAAAGGGGAGCGAAAGGTGTCAGGGCCAGGAACACTTCACTCGCACACTTAACCACTTTCTGTTCTAGTTTCGGTTCATTTTTTGGCAAGGGGGGAAACTTAAAAGTTTACCCCAGCTAAACAAGTTGATGCCAAGCTGAGGCAAGCACACACACACACACACACACAGATAAACACATACACATACACATACATAAATAACATGACAGTGTAAATGGGGAGCAGAAGAACTTTTGCTTGAAAAATCTCAGCAAACAGCAAAAGTTAAAGTGGCTTTTGTTTGTGTGTGAGAGAAGAGAGAGTGTGTGTGTGTGTGTGAATCGATATGTTTAAGCTGCTGCTAGCTGCTGACTGCAATGTAGGCGAACTTTTGACACAAATACACCAACACACAGATATACATACACATGCAAATAGTAGAGAGAGCGGTGAAATCAGGGGAGGTGGCACACAACATGCGCCTATGCATATGCCACAATGCTTTGCTGCTGTTTTCCGCCTGGCATTGTGCATACAAAATGGGAAATTGCCTTCTTCTGACTGACAACTTACAAAGAATTTGAATTTAGAAAATTGCAAATTTATGTAGAAGCCAAGTGAGCAGTGCCCAGAGAACGAGGCAAACCAAAAACCATGGAAACCCAACATTTATGCAGTGTTCTTTCAATCCTGGCCACAACAAAAGGGAAAGGACATCTCAATGCCCCAATAGTCTCATTCTTCGTTCCTCCCCCACTTCACCAATGCCTCTCTGTCCCTCTCTCTCCCTCTCTGTGTCAAGTGAGAACTTATGGTTAGGTAATTCCCTTACAAGTTACTTTGATTCGCAATCACATTCATTGTTCGATCTGTCGTCTGTCAGCAATTGTGTTTTGATTTGCAGCTACTTGAGATGCTGCTCACTTCTGCCCTATGGCACAGGTACGAATGCCAAGCGGCTTATGGGTAATGAATGTCCATAACAGTACGAGCATTGCATCAAACTATTTATACACTCGGGTCAATAGGCTATATATACAGACGTGCACATCGATGTGCAGTTGAAAGTTTGTAATTAAAACTGTCGGAACTGGGAGTTGAGTTCAGTCAACTGTCTGTTTAGCTGCCAGTTAACTATTTAATTGCACATTGATCAATTGATGGATATTTTAAGTGGCTGCAACGCCAACAGATAATTTTCACTTGCCCTGAAAGGTGGAAATTAAGAGCAGTGCACAGTCTAGAAGCTTTTACCAATTAGTTGTATCATAGCCATGATACTAGATGTGAGAGCTAAATAATTACAGCAAAATTACTGGAATCCTAGAATGACCGTAGAGAAGCAAATACTCGTAGGCAACGACACAAAGTGGCTATAATTATATTGGGCAGCTGGCGTAGCCGAGTTTAAATGAAATTAGATAGTAAATCAGAGTCCAAGTCCCACCCAGAGGTGTGGCACACAGAGGTGTGGTGGCATATGTTTTGGGTCCTCCATGACCGCAGTCAAATGTTGTCCATGTCAGGGCGGGAATCGTTCAGAGCGTTTCCGTCATGATGACTGGATGAGTTGGCGGAATTTTTCAATTGTTATTTCATTTGAGGCCAGTCAAGTGGCGAGCCGAACGCGATTGTTGCCAAACAATCTGGCTGGTCATGGTTGCAGCCTGATAGCTGGCCCAAGCTGGCCCACAGGCGTTAATTGAAATCCGGCTTAGGAACTGGGGCTCCCACGAAACATCCGAAACTCGGACATCATGCAGCCATTAAACAATAACAATTTTACCTAACCGAACCGCACACACATGAGCACACACACACACACAAACAGAGAGAGAGAGATAGCGAGTCCTTTAACATTTCGTTGGATGATTTGTGGTGCAATAAAGAAGGCCATTTTATAGGTCGAATTCGAGACCGAAACTAAGACTGAGAACGAGACTGAGTCTGAGTCGGAGACCCCCGGAGAAGCTCTTTAACCTTTTCGAACCCAAAATCCAAAACCGAAGCGAAACCAAAAAGAACAAAAAAGAATTTGGAAATGCCAAAACTAACAAGCTCATTCCCAATTTATATTAAATCGAAAGTCCACAAATGGTTCAGCTGACCCCAAAACAACAATGGGGTCACGCACACACTCACCCGCTCACACAATCAAATGGGGCATAATCTTATCGTGCAGCAAGCCTTTTTCCGCTTGGTTGGCGAAGGGCAAAGGGAGGGAAAGAATGGTAGGAAAGTGTTCCCGGATGGTTTCCGGCATGGGTTCTGCATTGGGGGGACCGGCCCGCATATCAGCCAAGAGCCAAGTCAAACAAGTCCGCCAAATGGATTGTCTATCTTGCGGGCGTCTCTCTTTCTGCGTGTGTGTCTCTCTCTCTCTCACTCTTTGTGTCCCTCATTCACACTCTCTCTCTCTCTCGCTCTCTCTCTGTCCACTGACTCTCTCTATATACATATATATCTATCTATCTATCTGCCTGTCTCTCTGTGCCAATCTATTTCTATTGAATTCTCTCTCACTTTGCCTCGAAACATTACTAAACAAAAAAAAAATAAAAATAAAAATGAAATGAAAATGATACAACGAAATTTTGTATATGTTAAACAAAACAAAAACCAAAAAAAAAAAAAAAAACATGAAGAAACAAACCAAAAATGAAAAACTTTGGAAACTCGTTTAGGAAATCGCGTATCGGAGATGGAGCTTCAGATCCAGATTCCGATTGGTAAGTTTATTTTCTTGTGTTTCTTATGATTTTTGTCGGTTTTGTCTCTGCACACATACAACACACACACACACACAAGACAAACACACACTAAGCCACACACACACACTCACAACACATATAGAATAGACACAGCTAAGCGTTGTTCATTCTTTTCATTTGGTTATACTTTATGGATTATGATTATGATGCTGATGATGATGATAATGATGATGATCGGCATGTGCGCGCTTTGCATTTTGAATAGGCAAACAAAAGAAAAACTCAGATATATATGTATACACAATTACAACTACAAGAACATATATAGAGGGATGGAGTAGGGTTTTTGGTAGCGACGAGCCAACACCCCTGTGTCCAGGCCCGAAAACTCCTCTCAAACCAGCACCAGAACCAGAACCAGAACCAGAACCACACCTTGTACAAAGTCTCAGACAAAATAAAACACAAAAAAAACACACACACACGCACAAATACTGATACTTGGCAACCACACCTATAGCTATCATAGTTTTCCTTTGATTTATCTTTCGTTTAGCCAACTGCATTGCTACCAATCGCTTTCTTTTCTCGTACCTCATCGTACCACATGACGTATGCGTAATCACTTAGCCAACGCTGTAAATAGTACAACAAAAGCGTAGAAAACCAGCCAACGAAATAATAACCAAAAACCAAAATGCAAAAACCAAAAAATACAAATAAAAAAAACAATGCAAAAACCTTAAACATAAAACGAAAAAAAACATATTTATTCCGTAGCTTGGCATTTGCTATGCTGAATGAGAATATATTAAACTGTGCATAAATTAAGCCAAAACACCATCCAAACAATTAATCAATCAGCAAGAAATCAAATTTGAATGTACATAAGCCATGTATATACTCGTACATAGAATACAAAATCGAAAATCAATTGTGTACATCATGCGATAGCAGAACAGACGATTGAATGGCGACCTTGAGCGGCTTGAGCAAAAGTTTAAAGTGGTAAAACCTCACCCAAAACCCTCCCCAACCCAAAAGCTCCAATTTCCCCTCTCATCCAAAGTAGTTGTACACTAGTCCTAGATCGAGTCTGTAGATAGTGCATAGCAATGCCCTTGCAGGCGACCCCCAAACCAAACGGCAGGATCAGCAAAATTGTCTTACTGTCTGCTCTTACCAGTGGAAACCACTCATATTGGTTTATCCCAAGTGCAAAATAGTTTCCAAAGTTGTACAAGTTCTCTCTATTGCTTAACGTGAAGACCATTCCCAGACTAACTTACAGAACATTCTCAAAGACTTCCTTTTGGCAGCTGCTAAGGCAACAAATTTTGAAAGAATTTCGCAAAGACCTTGCAAGGGTATTCGTAGCCTCGGCATGCCGTTGCTAGCTAGCCTTACTTCCTCCTTTCTTGTCAGCTTTTTAGTTTTTTAATTGAGAAAGAAAGTTTTCAGTTTCATTGGATTGGATTTTTGCTAAAGGGTAAAAAGTGCTGCAAACACGAAGCCTGCGAGCCTGCGAGACTGCCTGCCTCACATTTCACCTGGCCGACAGCTTAACAGCACACATTTGCCCACAGCTATTCGTGCTCGTACCCAAAATAAGTGCTATTTATATATCGAGAGCGAAAAGTTCTTGGCCCCCCGACTTTATTCCCTCTCAACTTCCACCCTCAACCCTCCAGCTTTTACCCAACTTCCGCCCCAGCCCCACTATAACCCCCATTTCTCTCTCTCTCTCTCTCACTCTCTCTCTCATTCTTTCGCTCTCTGTCTGTCTCTGACTCGCGCTGCCGCTGCTGCTTCTCAGAAATGTTTTCTCAATTGCAATTTTCTCGTTAATTTCTTCCTGTGGATTGCATAACGTCTCTGATTGCCATTTCCCCTTGGTTTGATTTGATTTCCGTGGAATGCCTTTTGCTGTCGGCTGTCTGCACCGAACTACATTCAATCTATAAAATATATTTAATCTTTCATCCGTAATCTATCAAATCCTGTATAGAAATAATCAAATCCTTACTTTTGCATGCCTGCTTCTTGCTACATTGCATCTATCCATTCATCCAATCATCTGTATCCAGCTGGATCCATCTGGATTCACTGTCTTTCTTCTCATTCTTCTTGTTTGTTGCGTGTTTCGTTGTTTCCGTTTCACCTCACTGTTAGCGTTACCGTTACAGCTATCGTTACCGTTACCATTTGCCGTAAACGTTGCGTGCCTTTACGTTATGGCCTTTTGGGGACCACCTCTTCTCCTTTGAATGTTGTTTGCCTTGCCACTAAGTAGCCGTAGCCGTAAACGAAGCACAGTACTATGTATATCAGTAACCCGTAACCCGTAACCCGTTACCCGTTACCCGTAACTGTACTCCGTCATCAGCTGTATCATAGCGTAAGTGTTTGTTCGATGTCTCGTGTTACGTCGATACTCGATACTCGTAAGTGACTGTTCCGCTGACTGTGACGCTTAGTTGGAATGCCTCTTCAGTTGCCCCCGTTCTTTCTTCTGTCCGTAGTTTTTAGTCATTTCCGTTCCTACTGTAGCTAATGTAGTTCAATGTGTGAGACAATCCCTAATGCGAGCCCCGTGAGTGGGGTGCCATCAGTTTCAAGATCCTAATGGCTTTCTCTCTCCAAACGAAAAACAGGACACGATCGAACCAACGCTGGATGAAGCTGCGCACCACTGTGCAAATCTCGTCGGCGATACAGAAAAAACCACCGCTCAAGCGAGAAGACTCCTTCCTGAAGCGTTTCTCGACTAGACAGATACCCGAAACACAGGTGCGAATCGTACCATGGACCACAGACTGAAGTGGAGTGGACTACCATATGATCATTCTTTTGCAGGAAACTGTTGAAGATACGGGTTCAGAAAGTGCCTCTGGTGACGTCGACAAAAGTGTTAAACGAAGACGACGCTATCTGCAGAAACGACGATCCGTTGTTAATCCAGATGAAAATTTTTACTTTTATTGGCTAATGATGGTAACTGTATGTGTTCTATATAATCTATGGACCCTTATTGTGAGGCAGAGCTTTCCTGAACTGCAGGTAAGTCCTATCTGTCCCATCAGACAGTTAACCTTAATCCACCTTACGCTTTACGGTTCCCATTCTCCATTCAGCATTGTCTTTCCTTTTTGTGCCATTCCCCCTTGCCCCTGCCAGGTTCATCAGTCACCCTTTCAAAGGTGGTCCAGACAGACCTTTGTTCGCCTTTGTGAAAGCCAACACCCTTTTGTCATTACGCTTAAAGAGTTTTGTGTAATGCGAGTTTGCCACGCTGTGCCTTCCACTACTGGAGGTACATTTCCATAGCCACTGGACTTGGTCACAGTCTGTGCCAGATGTTGGGCGAAGGGCATCCCGTAGCCACTACATACACAAGCCGTGTGGGTGGTTGGTGGCGAAAGTTATCCGGGTTTTTTTATCTGTTTGTTCCCGCTCTTTGGCTTGTAATGACTCAATTATAAGACACGCAGCCAGGCCTGGGCAAATGTTTGTTTATGGCCCAGTTAGCTGGTGTTTGTCATCAGATTAAAGGTGGCTACGGCTTGACTATGGCAAACAATAGTCCAGCTCTTAAGCTGACCTTTATCGTGGCCACAAAGGCCCGCAGTTGTGGCTACCCAACCATGGCCTGGACATGCCTTTCCCCTGGCAATTGTCAACAGCAGTCCGACTGCTGCCTGCATAATTACCCTTGACCTGTCCCCAAAATAACTACCGAAAAACCAACAAACGGAATGAAGCTTTTCCTCTATTTTTAATTCACTTTTTATCTACTTTCGAACAGCAATCTGTGCCTACCTTTTGGCTCATCTGCGATTCGATGACAGATGTTGTATTTATCTTAGATATAATAGTTCAATTACGCACAGGCTATCTCGAGCAGGGCCTAATGGTGAGTGGACTTTAGATCTGTAAAACAACAGCACTGAAACTGAAACTTTCCCTTTTGCAGGTATATGATGACAGGAAGCTGGCCTGCCACTACGTTCACTCGCGTGATTTCATCTTCGATATGATTGCGCTGATACCATTGGATCTGTTGCAGCTCAAGATGGGCACCCATCCGCTTTTGCGTTTTACGCGCTTTTTTAAAGTGAGTTCTCCGAGACGAGAATAAACGCATATTAATTCCATTTTTGCCCTCCATTTTCCCTTTTTGAAGGTTTATCGATCTGTGAGATTTTATTACATCGTAGAGAGTAGAACAGTTTGGCCAAATTTATGGCGCGTTGTTAACCTAATTCATATCCTGTTAATATTGGCACATTGGTTTGGTTGCTTCTATTTTTTACTCTCCGAAGCGGAGGGTTTCCAGGTGAGTAGCCTCCAAAACCACTCCATCCCATCCAAACACATTGATTAACAATTCCGTCTTGTATATTCCAGGGTGATTGGGTGTATCCCTACAGGCCGGGTGACTATGCCACTCTAACGCGCAAGTATCTGGGCAGCCTCTACTGGTCCACCCTGACGCTGACCACCATCGGGGACCTGCCAACGCCCGAGACGAATGCAGAGTGAGTACGGCTGCTACCAGTTTACCAGATACCAGTCGAAAAACGCATATTCTGATCGGTTTGGGTTATATTCTTATCGCGGGTTCTGCTCTCATTTCAAATTTAAATTATGAATGCACCGAATAAACACACAAATCAGACCGAACTTTTCGGTGGACGGCCCAAGATCAATACCTAGACGTGGCATTAAATCACGACTGCTACAGTTTGGCTCTAGCTATGGGTATGATCAACAATTCAAATCCATCTAATTCGCGTATAGCTCTAAGCAAAGTCAATCAAATCGTATCAAATATCATGCAATTTGTTTATGGGGCTGTCCACCGATTCGTCTTCCTTAATGTTCTAGTTCTAACTCTGACTGATCTGATCTGTTGCATTCTCTTCAAACATCAAACATCAAAAGTTTTCGAAAGCGTGCGACAGCCTAGAACAATTCCATTGATATTTATTTTGCAACGCAAAACAGTTTAGTAACAAAAATACTTTGCAAACATATAAACAACAACAGATTTCCCGCTGAATTAAGCTTTCGAAAACTTTGATTGATCTTGCAAGTTGAAGAGGCTATAATATACGAGTGTGTACATAGCTATAAGAGAGAGAATAATTATGAAATCAGTCATATTTCTTTCTCCTATAACTTGTACACACAAAAAATACATTCCCTTATGCTTATAGATTCACATGATTCTGATCTTCTCATTTGCAGATATATTTTTACGATCGTTAGTTATTTGATTGGTGTTTTTATCTTTGCGACAATTGTTGGACAAGTGGGCAATGTGATAACGAATCGGAATGCGAATCGACTGGAGTTTGAGCGTCTTCTGGATGGGGCCAAGACCTACATGAGGCATCACAAGGTGGCTTCATTACTCCACTCACACTTCAATTTGCGAGCCCACTGACATTGAACTATTTGTTTTGCAGGTGCCGGGTGGGATGAAGCGTCGCGTGCTGCGATGGTACGACTATAGCTGGTCGCGGGGGCGGATACAGGGTGGCGGGGACATTAACACAGCTTTGGGTCTGCTGCCCGATAAGCTGAAAACCGAATTGGCCCTACACGTGAACCTAAGTGTGCTGAAGAAGGTGACCATATTTCAAGAGTGCCAGCCTGAGTTTCTGCACGATCTTGTGCTCAAAATGAAGGCCTACATCTTTACGCCGGGCGACTCCATTTGCCGCAAGGGTGAGGTGGCGCGCGAGATGTTCATCATTGCCGATGGCATACTGGAGGTGCTCAGCGAGACGGGCAAGGTGCTGACAACCATGAAGGCTGGCGATTTTTTCGGCGAAATCGGCATCCTCAATCTGGACGGGCTGAACAAGTGAGTTTTACCATTGAGTGCTTAACCTCTCTGAGCATCATTTGACACTCAAAACACTCATCTATCCTGTAGGCGCACTGCGGACGTTCGTTCCGTGGGCTACTCGGAGCTCTTTTCGCTTTCGCGGGAGGATGTGCTGGCTGCCATGAAGGACTATCCGGATGCGCAGGAGATCCTGCAGACGCTCGGCCGCAAGCGGCTCATGGAGGTGCGTTGCGTGAACAAAAAGTATGCGAAGGCGGCACTCGAGAAGGAGAACGCGGCCTATGCGGCGGCCCATCCGCACCACCATCAGGCCCATCACCAGGGACAGGTGCACCAGAGCGATAGCAGCGAGAATAGTGCATCCAAGAAAATTGTGGATAAGCTGAAGCACGATGTGAAGGGCTTTCGTAATGTGCTGAAGAAGTCCAGGTGGGATTTGCCCCCGCACCAAACGAAGTTACTCCCTAATTTCTCTCTCATGGGCAGAACCTCCCGCAAGAGCGACGAATCGCTGGAGATGCAGCCGCTGCACAACACCTCGCCACGCGGCAGCAAGATTATGCTGAAGCGCATGTCCCGCGTGCGCTCCGACGAGAAGGATGCAGACACAGCCGAGGCGAAGGATGAGCTACACGACAAGACACCCAGTCCGATTGGGGCAGGTCTCCCATTGCTGCAGCGCTTGCGGCTGCTCAAGGAGAAGCAGGTAAGGACACAGTTTCCACAGCGACAGAGCTAGAGCCAGAGCCAGCGTCAGATGACGTTGAACACCAATCACGCAACTCACTTTTTTCTTTAACCACTTTCGCCACCAAACCACCCAACCTTCCATGATCACATTGTTCATGGTTTCTCATCCACTTTCACATCCCACACCAAGCTTTAAATGGTTTTTCTTCACACATAAAACAAACAAACGCATTGAATGAACAGCTTGACAAATGGAAAAACAACACAGACAATGCCACAGAAATAACAACAGATACAGATACAGATACAGATACAGTTACGGACACTGCCACTGCCACATATGTATGTACACAGATACAGTTACAGATATGTACACACCATCTGACATAGTCGGATATCCAGTTGTCTCTGAGATGCTTCTTCAATTACTTCTAGTTGCTCATCCATGTGTATTCCATTGTAATGCAGTTGTTAGTGCACCTTCCAAATCAAAATCAATAACAAACAAACAAAAAAACTCCACCCAACTCAATGTTTTAGCTTTAACTTATTCTTCATTCTTGTAAATAGCAGCACGTTATGCAAAAACCAAGCTTCAAAACATTTTGGAAATAATAACAGAATATAATACGATTAATTATGCTGTTCATTTCAAATGGAACCAGTTGTAATATTTTCGGGATATATTAGAGTTCGCATATTAGTTCTTGCTTTCAATAATTATAGTGAAATCTTCAACTCTGACTTCAACCAGCAACAGAAAAGTATAAAGATTGAGTTTCAATTCCTCCACATGTTCATATTGTTTTGCTGTCTAGTTTCGTTTGAAAGACAAACACGAGCCGAGTCTTCATGCTTCAGCAGAGCACTGCTTTATCTGCTTACTTGTTTCCTCTCTTGCGAAGGGAATTAACTGGATCAGCTTAAGCTGATAAACTTCTTAAGCGACGCACTGCTCTGCCGTTTGCTTGTGAAGGGGAAATTAACTGCTTGCTGAACAGCTACCTTTAGGCACTGCATGACCAAGTGAAGGCAATAAAGCGGAGCTTCCGGTTTAATCAATGTACTGCTTGTAGAAGAGATTCATTGACTCAAACAGTGGTTTCAGGTATGAAGATCGGCTGCTGTATGCAAATGCTCGTCAAAAATTTACTAAATTGCTGTCAAATTATAAATATCATATCTGATTACAATACAGATGTACTCATCTATCATTCTGCTTACTTTGTTTGGCTGAATGAACCCCATAGTTGCCTACCTGCTTGTGCTTATTACACGGATACCCAAATAAAATACAGGACAGGCTACACAAAAATAAAGAAAGATGCAGATACAGATACAGCTACAGGAAGACACTCACTGACATGGCATATAATTCATAATTTCTTTGTCCACACCACACGTTGCTTTTGCGTTGCATTTGAGGTTATATTTTGGTTTGATTTAGCTTCCAAAATGCCCGCCCAAATATATGAGAATCACCCAAAATTCGTGTTGTATGTAATTAATTCCCCGGCTCCTAAAAAGTAGTTTTGTATGTGTCTTTATGTGTCTTGCACTAGGATCGCGAAGAGCGAGCTGTTAAGTCCACACCACCACAGAAATCTCCACCTCACTCACATGTAACGTGTACGTTATCGCCGCAGGAATCGATACAGGAAGAGCCCGAACGAGAGTTCAACGAGGGCTTTCCCCTGATCCAGCGATTGCAGCAATTGAAAATTAAGAACGAGCCGCAAGCGATCGCCGGTCCTGATTCCGGCCTCGTAATGGTAAAGCCTAACAATAAACAAAATCCTGACCAAAAACATAGACCCCAATAAATTCCAACACACCAAACCAGTAACCAAACAAACAACCCAAGAACACAAGAAACTCCTTTGGGCCATATACTAATATTTTCAACTCTTTTTCTTTCCCTACCTCTTGATATCTTTGTCCCACTCGCCTGTCAGGTCAAGACGCCTCCTAGCATCAGCAGCAAGATTGACTTCGGAGGAGCGGCTGCCGCAGCAGCAGGATTGGGAGCAGGACTCCCCTCGGGCAGTCAGCTGCTGACAGTGGCACAGATAAAGCCCATGATGAAGGTATCATTCAAACAGAAGATCCAGCAGATGCAGGGCGGTGGGGCAAGTGGATCCTCGCCTGGTCCCAGTACCGGAGCGATAGCCAAGAAGGAGCCGCCCAAGTCGCTGCCTCTGATTGCCAAGCATGCCACAGCGTTGTCCCTACCACCAGCGATCGTGGGCGAGGAAGCAGCAACGGGGGGAGTGGGATTGGGATTGGGAATGGGATCGGGTGGGGGAGTAGGACCTGGCCAAGCCCTGGCCATAGCCACGATATCGAAAAAGGTGACCAAACCGTCGTACAAGCTTAACACGCCAATGCAATCCGACACGGACACCGACGGCACGCCCATCTCCAAGCCCTGGTCCAAGCTGAAGCTGGCGACTCTCATGTCCTCCAGCTACACCAGCCTCACCAACTGCTCGCCGGATGACCTGGCCACGCCCCTGAAAAACTACTCGCTGAGCAACATACCCCAGCAGATGGAGGCCACCGCCCAGGCCCAGTCCCAGTCCCTGTCCCGTCCGCGTCACCACAGTGCCAGGAGCAGCTCCAGATCGCCCAGACACGCCCATGGTCATGGCCACGGGCACGACTCCACCACCAGCAACACGAGCTCTTCGGCCAGCCAGGCGAGCACCAAGCGGGAATGCCTGCGCCTACAAAAGCCCGAGCAGCAGCTGCCGGATGGAGAGCTGGCCGAGCCGCGACGAAAGTTCTACCAGAGCGTGTTCGACCTGTCGCCGGAGTACAATGGTTTGCCGTTTGTCAAGCGTCTGAAGATCCTCAACGAGCGCCAGAAACTGGCGGAGCTGGAGAAGGCCCTGCAGACGCGAAGTTTCAGCCTGGACTGCTCCAAGTCCGACCAGGGAGCGAATCTGCCCATCACGGAATCGCTCTACCGATGCTACAGCGACACCTCCGGTATCTACTCACAGTTTCTCAGTGCCTACGAGTCCACCACCAGTTCAACATCGATATCCACCAATACATCCGCGTCTGCATCGGCATCGGCCTCTGCATCAGCATCAGCATCGGACACCGGAAACTCCCGGCACGGACAGATGCAATATGTGCCGCTGCCCCTCAGCCCAGAATCGAATGAAACCGTCGAACGACGCAAGCTGAAGAGCATACTCAAGAAGCTGCAGAAGGGCGGTGCCAATGGAGGAAGCGGTGGCAACGGCAACGGCAACGGCAATGGAAGCGGCGGAGTTGATGCCCAAGACGAGGCGACTGCCACAGCCACAGCCACGACGCACGCACACGCGTCGTCGAGGGGGCTGCTGGCGGAGCCGACCTTGGAAGGGTACGTGGCTAGGCACAGTAAGCTCTTGAAGAGTGTAACCTTCCATTCAACTCTTTCCAGCCCGCCCGCCAGTGCCAAAGAGGAAGGTCAGTTCGCTGCCTTTGGCGGCGCTACCGGCGTGGCTCATTCGCACGCGATCGCGATTAGTCCGAGTAACGGTAACGCAAACGGTAAAGCTAACGGTAACGGTAAAAGCTCGTCCAATGCTAGCGGTAACGGGATGGGTAGCGCACCTTTCACTACCAATCCAACGTATCCGTTTCCGATCGCGGTTCCACTTCCTCTTCCGGCTACGGAGACACGCATCTGGTCGCCGACGTTGACATTGAATTCCCCTCAAGAGAGTTTCGCGCTCGAGCTGCAGTCTCAGAGTAAATCTCAAGTGCAGCCCCAGCTCCAGTTTCCGCCTCCACCTGCAGCTGAGGGCAGTGATGGCAGCGCCATTGGAGCAACGGCTTCATCATCATTATCATCATCCTTATCAGCAGCAGCAGCAGCTGGAGCAGCAGAAGCATCGACATCATATGTTGTCGAATGCTCATCTTCGTCGGTGTCATCGAAATCGAATCAGATACTCTCACAGAATACCGAATTTCATGCTCAATCCACAACATCCACAGATTTGAATTTGAATTTGCAGCTCAGACAGAACACCACCACCTCGAACACAAACAATGTGCTGGCTGGTGGCAGCCAGGGGCTTCGGCCCGAAGGTAAATATATCTGCTTCAGATCTAATCCGTTTTCCACCTCCAAACAAATCAACATCAGCTAAAACAACAGAAATTACTCGTACAACCAGTGTGTGTGTGAACAAGAGCAACCAACGCAACGCTTTCAACCCCAAACCGAAACACACACAACTGTACTTTTGGCAAAACTATCTATCTATCTATCTATCTATCTATATCTTCTCTCTCTCTCTGTCTGTCTATTAAACTCGTATATTCTTGGTCCATTTAATTCCCTCACTTAAACACACACCTCTGCATGTCTGTTACGGAGTTGGTAACCTCAACAACATGCTCTCCTGCTCTAACATCGCTCCTATGCTTTGCTTTCTGTCTCTTCCTCAAGCTATATAGAGACTTATATCTCTTTTTAAGTCCATCCGTCTATCTTCTTTCTCGCCTCGAAGTTGCATTTAATTGAATGAATACAATTTTTAGCATGTGGGATATTGTTATTATTTACAAAAATTAATGAACATTGATGCTTAAAGTACTAACATTGCTTGATAACACCCTGGAGTGTACACCTAAAGCAAAGTTATGCAATTATTAACTTTTATTTTTTGCAATTACATATCCTGCAGTTGAAATTAACGAATGGCCTGCTCTCCTTTTAACTATGTATAAGTGACCAATTTGTATTTAAAAATGTACCTATCAATGGAACCTAATTGTAGCCAAAGTCCCTTTCATCATATGCTGCAGTTGAGAGTGAAGCTATATTCTTTAGAACTTCAACCCTTGAACCCATTTGAATCTCTACAGACTCAAAATATAGTTAAGGTTCATTTAATTAGATATAACATTGATTTAGAACACCAAATTACACGTACGCACAGATCTAAGGCAGGGGTTTCAACTGCTGAAGGTACAGTCACGCTCGCACGCTTTGGGAACGCTATGGAATGAAACAGCCGCCATATTTGGTGCTCACTCGCTGAAGCATGTAATCTAACCTATCAATTGTATATGTAGCTAATCCTCCCCGTAAATAATACATTTGAAACCGAGCCGATGGTTTGGTTGATACAATGGAGGCGCAAGACTACAATCACAGCTGTAACTTGTATGGGAATGCGTGTAAATAATTAACGACTGAAATCCGAAATAAGAGAAGTATCTATACACACTCGTAGCTATAAATATGTAGTGCCACAATGCTTTGATAGTCACAGTTTGATAAATACAACTAACTTACCATATTTTGTACGTCCTCCCATCCCAGCAAGACTCATGTTCGCCAGACACAACTGTACCCCTCCCTTTGTCAGGCTCTTTTTGCTGTTTTATGCTAATAATGGGTTGTGATTTTGCTCTTCAAGGATTTCCAGAAGCGCAAGACTACTTCAATCAGATACTCAGCGGCATCAATCACGTAATCAAGACGCACATGAATGAGATGCACTCGAAATTCGAGACGCAATTCTCGAGCATGGCCGGGGAGGTGCACCGTCGCGATGCCATCATTGCCCAGCTCCAGATGAAGCTGCGATCCATCGAGCAGAAGTCTTCTTCAGCAGCCTCATCCTCGGCTGCAGTCCCATCCTCAGCCCTGGCCATAGCCCGCCGGCAGAAGCGGGAGAAGCTCTCACAGCTCTCGGTGGACGACGATGAGCCAGCGGAGGAGGACAACAGTAGTTCGGGCTCCTCCGCAGAGCTTCTCTTTATGGTGAGCCTCGCACTTTCATTTTAAATATTGTATCTAAATGGTTATGTTTCCACTTGCAGCGCGGCGACTCTCTGGACACGGTGTTTACCTCTTCGCCACCCATTCAGGGCGGGCGACGCAGTATATCGCCTCACCCAGGTCCGAGTCGGCATCATGCCGCTTCGGCCAACGCTCTCAACTGTCCCAGCAACTACTACAGCGGGCCGGGCACGCTGAGTACGCGGCATGCGCAAAGCCATCCAAGCTTCTATACGGGGCAGGGGAATGGACGCAGCAGCAGCAGGGGATATCGCGAGTGGAGCGGAGCCGCTGGCGATGGCAGATTCAGTGGGGCGGACGGTAGCGTGCCCAGCGGCGTGGTGGTGTCGGACGTGACGGGCAACCTCACACGGCTCTCGGATAGCGTGATCCTGGACATTGGTGAGAGCTCCAGCTCGAGCTCCTCGTCGAGTAAGCTGAACATTGCGGAAGAGGAGGATGACGAGGATGAAGAGGAAGCGGAAGCGGAAGCGGAAGCGGAAGCGGAAGCAGAGGCCGAGGCGGATGAAGAACTCACCGCCAGTGGGCCCGGCAATAACGATTGGGAGGTGCGAATGCTGGCCGCCGAGATGGAGCGGCAGGAGCGCAAGCGCGGACACTCACTATCCGACAATCTTGGCGATCTGAAGCACTGCAGCACGTTCCTGAGGCGCCGCCGCAAATTCAGTGACACCGAAACGGAGTTCAGTGAAACGGACATGGACGAGCAGTTGGCCCGAGGCTCAGGCTCCGGCTCAGGACACGGCACCAGCACCGGCCCCGTCGGTGGCGTAACTGGTGAGGCGCCTGCAGCAGGAGCTGGGTCCACATCCAGCGGCAGCGGCACCCAAAGTGGCAACCAGCGGCCGAGGGCTTCCAGTCTGGACCAGTTCAACCTGCGCTACGGCATCGGGCGTGGCATCTTCAAAGCAATGAGCATCGATCGTGATAAAGACAAGCTTTGAGAACTATAACCGCAACCAAATATCGCCCAATCCCTTAAACAGAGAACACCTTCCGTGTCCAACCCGACAGCAGAAACAGCACTGGACGAGGGCAACAACCAATAAGCAATTCGGACAGTATTACAATGGTACAACAACTAAGTATATATATAGACCCCAAGTATATATATACACTTTGATATACAAACCAAAGAGGACATATAGATCTATATTCTATATTGTATGTTTAGCCCTAACGACGAACCCCCCAAAATGGCAAACCAAAGAGGAAAGAAAACCCAAATATAGTATATATATACATGCATACATATAAAGTAAAACATTCAAATGGGATATAAATATTTCAAGGTAGATTTAAGCAAAGAAAAACAACTACAACTAAACCAAGAACAAGAACAACACACAAGATAGTCAGAGAGTTCTCTCCACCAATGTTCCAGAGGCAGCTGCATTTTGGTTTTGCTTTCGATTCTAGCTTAAACGAAACCCCACGGGAGTCTATATCTCAATGATCTCAGTATAACTCTTAGAGAAACCAAAGCTCGTGGGATTGTTTGATTCGATTTGCCATCTTTAGTCTTTCTCTTCTTGCCTTTCTTGCTTCATTTTGATAGGACTTAGATTAATAGGTACTACATATATATATTTAATGTATAGATGTTTGAATGAATGATTGATGGAAGATTGTTGAATGAGTGCACGAGATGATATAATTCCCACATTAAACCGTCCTGAAAAAACGTCCATGCCATCACGCGCATGTTTGTTCAGCGTTTGTATCTACAGATAACTGAATCTTAGACTTTACCAGTCTATCACTGTATGGGTGTACTACCAAGATCGTTTTCATTTATCCTTTCTGGAACATTGACGCGGCCGGAGGGCTCTCTTTCTGTCTCTATAAAAATGTATATACCTCTTATTGTTAGAGACTATGGAACATACATATATTTTAAGTACATATATATATACACAGAAATATGCATAGTTATATACAGACATATATATAGAGACATATATATATATATATATGTATGAACTAGTCTAATGAAAACCGAAAGCTTTAATAACTTATATAGAAAACTATTTAAGAAACGTTTTAAATACTAATCGATTCGGACAAATGTTTTGAAATAGAACAGGCAACCATTTCTGAACACACACATGCCTAAGACATGCATACAGCATACAGACATACAAACACACACACACACACACACACACATAAACATACACACAAACACAAACACACATATATATATATAAATATATAGAGCTTATAATATGCATAGATTAGCGATTTACTTGTTGAAACAAAAGCCCCTCAGTTTGAGCTGTTAAGCCTATCTAAGCGTTAGTCAAAACCTATCTAACTAAAACATAGACTAGATGCCTAGTCCCCAAAAACTATGCGAATTTTACCACCACCCCCACCAAACCCTCTCCTTCGGTTTCGTTTGCCTTACCTCACGCTTGTCACCCGTTCCCGTTTCGTGCTCAATCCATTCATCATACACGATCCCCCTTGAGAACTATTTCGATATAAGAATGGCAAACTCTAACACTTAAGTAGCTTAGTGCAGTTCTAGATCAATTTCGCCAACGAAACCGAAACTCAAGCCGTAAGCCTAAAGCTCTTTCTATTTATACTCTAAGCGGAAAATCACACCATAAGCAAATCTAAACAAAGGAACCGATAGTTGGGTTTCGTTTTGTTAACAAGTTGTGTTACTATTTTTTGTTTTTGGTTAACCCATCGATCTACTTGTTGCTCTAACCTAATGCTAAACTAAAGAACACTAACCGAGACAGTTGCAGTTGCAGTTGAAGGTCCTAGACTCAGTCCAAGCCAGTCACTCTACTCAGAGTAGCCAGCAAAAGTATATTCAGTAGAGAAGTTAACCCTAACAGCAGGCACCAATAGAGCGTTACGTAGCGACAACTAACTTAGCAGCAAAAAGCCCAAACACGACGTAACTGTACTCACACAATCTGTTCCCGAACTTATCGCTATCGCAATCGCAAAATCGCCATGGCTGAATGCTATCGATAACATCGATAGATTTCTTATTGTAATTAGCGCACTAAGGCACACACACACACACGCACGCGCTCACACAGATACACTATCCAGACACGCACACGAACACACAAGCACACACATGCATACTCAAGACATGCGTACTTCAACGAAAAACTAACTATACGGATACTTTATCTACTTATCTACTATCTGTAGTTAGCCACAAAGCAAACACAAAACTGAAATTCAAGGAACAAATACTCACAAAAATGGGTTCAATATAACAAAACAAAACAAAACAAAACAACAAGAACAACTAAATGGGTCACAGCCAGCTAAGCAGTCCAACTTAATCTAATAAGACCAGCACAACACTTAAGTAATACAAAATAGTTACAATACAACTAGACGGAGGAGTAGCAGGAAAGGCTTACACAGAAAAGAGCAGGGAAGCAGGGAAGCCGGGAAGTAGGGAAATGGTAGCAAGGAGACAAGGCCAAAAAAGATGAACTTACTATATAAGGAAACGAATTTTTTTATTTCATTTATTGGTATCTATTTATTGGGTTTCTTTGTTGTTGAATGCCAAGTTTAAATGCAGAAAAGAAACCATTTCAATTGAATTACATACGCCAGGGACCACAAAACGTTTTTTCTTTTTCATTATCTTTTTTATAAAACGTGAAGTACTCGTAAAAAGTGTAGACACAAAAGGAAAACCTAGCAAAAATCGAATGATAATATTAAAGAGCCACATATAAAGCATTTTTCTAGAGGAATGGGAAGAAATCCAGTTAGGGATATTTCCACAGATATTTCATAGCCCCCAAAAGCCACCATATAGCTATCCCAAACGTACCCCAGAATCAACCCGAGCCGAGCCACCCCGACCGCATCCAGGGCCCATTTCGATCTAGCTTATTTCGTACAGCTCACTCTCAGTTCAATTGTTGCCAACCAACGAAACTCTGTGAGTCAATTATGTATATGGATCATGTTTTTAAGATTGTTTTTAACTTGCACCCGATTAGAATAGACAAAGGACGAGGAGAATCAGTAGGAGAACCCAACCAATTATGAATTACTCTGTATTATATTAAATTATTCGTAAAATACCGCGAGCTGTTGTCGTTGTTGATTTTAAATTTTAAATTGCTCGTCTTTAAGTTACCGATATTTTTGTACAATAGTTTAAGGTAGCGCATAAAGAGTCCCCCACAAAAGCCTAGAGTAAAAATTCCTACATAATTGTATAAATACGAGTACATACATATACATACATATTTTTTTTCTCCTAATTGCTAATTTCGCAATGTTGACAGATACTATACAGCATGTACTTATAGTGAAAATTATATACAAAAAAAAAAAAACCAAACATAAATTAAACAAAAACTAAAGGGAATACCAAAAACCAAACAATGAAATTAGCACATGTTAAAGAGCCGCAAAATAAATGAGAGAACTAATGGGGTAAATACTCGTATGTACGATGAGGAAAAAACAGAAACAGAAACAGAAGAAGAACTAACTGCGAACTTGCCTTCGGTTGCGAGTTCGATTTTTAGTGTGCCAAATCTACATCATATCAACTTTTATTCACCATAAGGTATGATGTTGCTAAAATAATACGAACCTAGATACGAACACTAAAACCAAGAGAAACCAAGAGAGACCGATGCAAGTGACGTACTCGTAAAACCCAATGCAACCAAGGTGAAAATATGAAAGAAAAGAACAAACATACAACCGTATTTCAATAAAACAAAATGAGAAAAACCAAAAAAAAAAAACACATGACAAAACAAGTGCCTCAATCTAATTGCTTATTGACTGGGGAACGGCCATTTTTCTCAGCCAAACGTGGGCACACTGTATCCGCTATCCGCTATCAATAGACAAGCTTCCGGTTGACCGGTATCCAGGTGCCATCTGCTGGCAGCCACTGGGACCGACCTGCGCCTTTGAGTTGCATGTGCCGAGGGTTGTTTCAGCTAACGCTGCTGCTGCCACACTTAATGAGTAGGTCTGGCAACGCTCTGTCGGTGAGCTTTTTATCATCCCCCAACGATGCTGCCACTGCCACTGCCGCTGCCACGGCTGCTACTGCTGCTCTGAGCAGAAATTCTTGAACGCCACACAGCACACAGCACACGGGACACGGACGCGGCAACGACAACAGCACGGCATCGGCAAACGGCAAACGGCAAACCGCAACGGCTGGCCCCAGGCATAACAGCAGAAAAACAGCACAAATAGTTTACATTTGTTTGCTTTTGTTCGTTGGTTTTTTGTGATTGTGTTTTGTTTGTTTTGTTCATTGTAGTTTTTTTTTTTTTGTGGTGTGTGTCTGTCTGTGTCGGTGCCATGTGCCCGTACCCGTCGTATATTTATAAAGCAATCACGAAACCTGTGCGCACAATTGTCTCAAAAAAAGAAGAGTTCGATTGCAAATTTGAATTTCTATTCCAATACAAATTCTGATTACGCTGGCGATTCAGACTCCCACTGTGTGTGACATGTAGCGGGATTTTGTTTGCTCTCCTGCAAGCGTGTCTGTGTGTGCGTGCGTGTGCGTGTGTGTGTGACTGTGCCTGTGCCTAAGGCCATCCGCTTGCCAAGGAGCGAAAGGGGTAGACCAGAGGAATCACCATCGGTATCGGTAAGTCAAATATGATAGCACAATTCCAACAACCAGAACAGACCAAAAACTCATTTGTTTACATTTTCCCCGACATGCGTGTGTGGCCTGTGTGAGGGGTAAACTGGGCGTGGGGGGAAAAGCTTTGTCTGGAGCGAAATCAGAGCAGCAGAAAAACAGAACACCAGAAAATCCAAAGAAAACGGACAATTTACTCACACTCATGGACTCATCTAAGCTAAAAATTGCTTCTGCATGGTTCTTTTGTTTATCTAATTCGAAAATTGTGCATCCGAAGTTGTATTCGCACTTGTAGTTTTAGGGTCCCCGCCCGTCCGCTCTTTCGGAATGATTGCACGAGTGAATCCCCCTTCTTTGGAGATGATTATTCTGCATAATTGTTCGCATCTGCCTTGGATCAGGGGTCGCACTGTAAATGCATATTTATAGGTGGGGTTAGTGGGGCCTGGCTACCCATCCCACTTCTAATTATTATGTAAAATTTGTTCGCTCTTCTCTTCTCGTCTCGTCTCTGCTCTGCCCTGCTCTGTTCGGTTTCTGTTCTCTGGCCTGATTTTGAGGCTGGGCTGGGTCTTGGTACCCACCTGGAGGAGGGATACGCGAGCTATTGTCGCTGACTGTGGCAATGTGCGTGGCCTTTTGTCTGATTTATGCCCCAAAAGAATCCAATTATTGTTCGTCTTTGCGCCTGCCTTGGTACCGTACTCCCCGCATCCCTAGTTCTCCCTTTCCGCATCCCATTTTCTATTTTATTTCTCTATTTCCATTCGCTTGCCTCGACATTTCATTTCATTATGTAGTCAGCTTTCTTTTTATTCTGTTCTCCCTTTTTTTTCGCTCCACAGCATGAACTAGTTTCGGGTCGGGTGGCACTGATGGTGGTGGTGGGTTGCCCGAGAAGTTTCGCGGTGTATGGAGTGGGTTAGCCACCTCAACCGCCAGCTCCACCTCCAGCTCCAGCGCTCTTTCGATATCTTATATCGTCATCTCCGGTTCCGCTGGGTTCTTGCCAAGGGTATACACAGGAAGGGGGGTTCAGCCCATAGTCATTTGAGGCAAAGGTTTATCAACTCTTGAAGGATCTCTTGGGCCAAGGACAAGGGTTGGCTGGTTAGCTGGTTGCCTGCTTGGGGCACCCCTCGCACAGTTTGCCCAGCTGTTGCATAAATTTTCGCATTTAGCTGCTTGTCTTCTGCGTGTGTGTGTGCTTGAGTGTCGAGTGTATTTGGCATGTGTGTGTATGCGTGTTCACTTGTGAGTATCTGTGTGTCTGACTGTTTTTTTTTTTTTTTTTGGATATCGTGAGCGTTTTATGCAGCTCAAGGAATTTCGTTGCTCGTTCAAGGCATGACAAGGCTTTTCTCTTCTTGTTCTTTTCTTGCTCCTCAATACACTTCCTTCGAGGACATACACAATTTTCCTCATCACACCAAATTGAGTTCTATCATAAGCTTTCGCCTCTGGTCATTAATTGGGCCACATCCTGACCCATTTCGTTCGGGTGTGTCTTCCTTGACATTGATTGATGACAAAAGTCTTTTTGCATTTACAATTTTGGCAAGCAATTATACTAAGAACAATTTGGGGGATGTCTTCAATTTATATTTGATTAGGATAAGTAAATTTAAATTTGTAGTAATTTACCAATTCCATTTTGAACCTAATGCTGAATTTTCCTGAAGAAGTATTTGAAGTAAACCCGTTTAAAATTCAACTGGAAATGTTTCTTAAACAAATTAAACATGAAACGTATCAACCGAGATGATCTTTCAGAACTAAAGACAGATGTTTGCCTCATTCAATAATCTTCCAAGGGTATACCCAAGTCGGTAGGGTGAAATGCTTTCTATTCTGCTTTCCATCGCCTTTCATTTGGGGCTCAAGTGCCGCACTGTTTCCGCTGCTGTCACACTGCTGTGTTGAGTTGTTCGGGGTTACAAGACAGGCCGCAACAGTCTCAGACCCAAGCCCAGGCCCGCAGAACTTCTAGGAGTGCACGTGGAAATGGCTGTCGATGGGGCCTAGTCCTTGCGCATTTGTTTCGTTGTCATAACAAAATCAACAGAAACCGAAATTGAAATTGATTCGCGTTCGGCTCGGCGTTCCCGTTCGCATCGACAGACAGATAGACAGACGGACAGGTGGAGGGACGGTCGGACAGAAGGAGCCGGGTTTAGGAGCGGGATAATTGACTTCATTAATGCGAACATAGTAATTTGAATTATTTTTACATATTGGATACTCAATAAGCCCAATATAATACAACATAGCCGTGTTCCGTGTTTCAGTAATGCAAAGACGGCGTTATGGCACTACAAGGCTGGCGCTTTTTCGGTGTCTCGGCGACCATCATCATCTACATAGGAGGCGTCCTATTCCTCTCCATGAACAACATACCCGGATCGCATCCAAAACGGCCGCGCATCGAGCGCTTTGCCGAGGTAAGTCCACTGTTCCCACAGTCCTGGTTGACACTTTACTCAATTTCCTTTTTCATTCCAATCACGACAGTTTCCCAGCTTTCATAGTCCTCGGTTTCCCATGCCCAGCCGCAAGATGACCATTCGCTGGTGTCGCGATCTGAAGTACATGAATCGAGATCTTCCAAACTACACAGACTACAGAGCCGATTTCTATAGTAAGTACAAATCGAGGAGCGAACTGCATGGGATGAAAAATAAACCCACATTCTCTCTCACATTCAGCAGCACTGCCCAGCGATGTGAGTGCCAGCCTGCAGGCCTCGCCGATGCTGACAGCCTTGGCCAGTTTCCCGGGCAGTGGCAACACCTGGCTCAGGTATTTGCTGCAGCAGGCCACGGGAATACTGACGGGCAGCATCTACAAAGACTATGGACTGCTCAAGACGGGCTTCCCCGCGGAGAACGTGTGCAACAGCTCAGTATTATTGGTAAAGACGCACGAATGGGGCGGCAAGGCCTGGGCCCCATTCGCCAAAGCAATCCTCCTCGTCCGGGATCCCGAGAAGGCGATCATTGCCGAGTTCAATCGCCAGAGCGGAGGACACATCGGCTTCGCCTCACCCGATCGCTACAAGCGCACAAAGGGTAAATGTACGTCAAATAGTTCCCCAAATCCTCTAAGCGATTTCATTAACTGATTTTCTCTCTGCTTGCACAGATTGGCAGCAATTCGTGAGCAACAAGCTCAAGGGCTGGGAGCTTATGAATCTCAGCTGGGCGCGCAATTTTACGGGCAGTATTAAAGTCGTATTTTACGACGACCTGGTGCACCACACGGAGCGTGAGCTGCGGTCCATCCTCGACTTCCTGCAGTTCCCCGTCGACGAGACACTACTGCGGTGCGCCATTCTGCGCAAGGAGGGCATCTTTCGGCGAAAGAAGCGATTGCTCTCATTCGATCCGTACACAGAGGCCATGCGGGCCGAGGTTCAGGCCCGGAAACGCATTGTCTACGGCCTGCTGGGACGCAAGGAGCACTAGAGGAGACAACTAAAGTTATGTGATTATCATCTCTAGGATGGTTCTAAGAAAAGATTTTGTGCAACGAGAAGAGCAAATCAAAGCAATGCAAATCGTACCACCAAATGACGCACAGACCAACCGGAATTGCAGCACAGATCCCCCGCCAAAGAGCCGCCTAGCCGCGCAGGCGACTGCTATGCAACGCACCACATCAAATCACAACACAAAATAATAACATTGGACATAGGACCATAGATCTCACTGGAATCTGGAATAGCTAGAATACTAAGTAGGCTTACGCCACCACCCCCAGGCAAGCAAGCAAGCCTTCCCAAAGATCGAACCTTCCCTCCCGCACAATCCACCCACGAACATTGTTTTTCCAATCGTTTGCTGCCCAGCTTAGCGCATTAGTTTCAATTTTTGTTGAATTTCTAGATATATGCATTAGCTTAGGTTTAATATTGTATTGTATTGTATTGTATGGATGTACGTACTTGTAGGCTATAGAAAATAATCAGATCAGAGGATCATTAGATCAGATCAGATCGGATCAGCTTGCGTCTGCAAAAAGGTATTATGATTCCTGAACGAATTTATGAAATTCATTATAGGCCATGTTGTGCTTCATTGATTGCTCATCACCACCCCACAAACCAGTTCAATTTATAATTACACACATTCTCATCTCCGGTGTGCATTCCACGGTGCCACTGAGGGGATACCCTTGGTCATGCTGAACGCTCGTATTAGACTATCCTTGTAAAAAGTTTTATACACGATTCTACAAATAACTTGTGAAACATGAACGATTTCGAATGTATTAGATAATTGTACAAAACAAAAACCAAACGCGAAACGAAAAATCAACAGAAAATGAAATGAAAACAATGAACATGAAGTGAACTCAGAAAATGAAATTTAAAGTGTGTTTCTTTTATATTTTTAAGTTTTTGGGGTGGGTGAAAAGCTTCGTCGGTGCTGTGTTTGGTGCTAGACAAAACTTTCTTGAAGCTCTTGAAGTGCGTGTGCTTTTTTGATGCTTTCCTACATTGTTTAGCCAAGCCACAGCACTTCATATTCATGGCACTGAAAGCTTTCAAATATCCTTCTCCCTCTGTCAGGACTTTGACTACAAGCCAGCCATAGATGGCGCCTGCTCACAACTTTGAATACACGCCAAACATAGATGGCGGCATTAGCGGAAAACTGAAAAATTGCTCAGACTGGGATCATGTTTGGGAATGACTCTCTGATCATTGGAAAATATTTATATTTAAAGCTATAGAATTCACGTTATATGCATTAATTATAGGTATTTAATTTTATTCTGAAATAGTTGCAGAAATCACAGCAATATTCCTTGTTCATCTGGTCCAATTGTGGCGAGTTCTCGGCTGACCTGGAAGTGGTCTCTTTTAACCAAACTAATCCTTGATATATGTAAATCATGCAACATCCAACGTACACTTAATTGAGTATATACTGTTGCCAAGATTGAATAAAACTTCAGTGGTTGTCCATTGGGTGTTGAGTAAATTATACAAATTTATTTAAGCTGAAACATAATGTAGATCATCATATCAATCTGTAAGTACGTATTCAGATGATCTTAATGATTCTGAGGTTTCTTTTTAGCTGCCAAACCCCCTATCTAGAGCACCATGCGGACGAGGCACCCTGTTCGGCTCGGGTTTGCCGTAACGCTGGATAACACCCTTTAAGAGATTTGCAATGTTGCATGCTTTTAACAGGTACAATACAGTGCAACAACTAGGCCTCATCCATTCCACTTCAAACTGACACTACTCCTCCTTCTACCCCGCCCCCTGGCAGCTGGCAGTACCTGCAACATATACCTGATGCCAGCGCCAGCGCCAACGCCAACCCCACCTTCAACCTTCTACCTTTGTTTCCCGCCCACTCGCACACTCACCCACATCGACATGTACGCCCATTTTTGTTTTGGCATTGTTGGCCGTGTTGCCGTTTTGTGCCTTTTGTTTGAGCCTCTCTCTGCACCTCCCGGCGCCTGCCCCGGCCCCGCGCCCGAGCACCCTGTCCCCCCGGCGCACATCCTCGCTGCCAGGCTGCCTGTCCAAAAAATAAGGAAAAAAAAAGGTAAAATAAAAATAAAAAAAAAAATTGTGCCATATGCCGGACGCGGGGCATTGCGATGCTCACTCGCTCGCTCTCAGGAAGTGGCTGGGCCGTGGGCTAACGGAGGAGGCGAGGCGGCAGGGTGCTTCTTCGGGGTGGTTGGGTCCGGATATGGGCCTGGAACTGGAACTGGGCCTCTTGCTGCCAGCCCTCCTGTGGCGTAGTGCGCAGTCGCCTGGCCGCATTCTGTGGCCGCCACACTGGCATTGGCTTCGTCAAGTTTGCCGCCGCCGCCAGGTAGAGACACAACGTCGTTGTCCAATTCCAGCTGAACGAAACTGCCGGCGTCGCTGCCAGCACGGCGACAGCGACCAATCGGAGACGAGTGGCTGGCATTACATAAAGGACGTGGCTGCCATTTTGCAGGGGTGGATGGCGTGGGCCACGCCCCCGCTGATAAATAATGAAAACATGTCGTCCGCCCCATTGAAAATAAACTCCGAAGTTAGCGAAACTCATCATAGAATTCTTTATCACAACACCACGCGCGCTTGTCTAGTTGTGAAATCTGTTCGCTTGCGTTTAGTTTCGACCAAAGTTGAATGCGTTGAATGCGCTGAGTGCGGGCGGTAGCGGCAACGAGATAACGAGACAGCGAGACAAACAGCGACAACAAAAGGATATACCCGATATATGTACACCCGGGATACACCAGGATACATCAAGCGCGTCACGAGTCGAGCGAAAATTGCATCCATCGCAAACAGAACAGCTGAGCGCTGAGCCCAAGATCCAAGAGCTCGTCGGAGCGACGGCTTGGCACAATCCTCACACACCGACAGACACCGACGGACGCACACAGACGCACATACCCATACTGCAGTGGCACAAGCGAAAGCGGGAGCCAGCTTTTGAGATCGGTACGGTACGAAAAGAAGAAGCTCCGCTTGGCTCTGGGGCCCCAGAGCTTGGCTTGGGCTTACGTACCCCCAAGTACCCTACGAACACGCAGATAAAGGAGCACGAAACGCTTCCACAGCTTAACGTAACGTAACGCAACGCAACGCAACGCAAAGATAAGCGGCAAACGTGAAACGGTAAACAGTTCCCCACATGTGTTTGTGTGTGTGTGTGTGTGTAATGTGATGTGCACTCGGTGACCGCTCAACTGCTTAACTGCCTAACCGATTCGATTCACCCCTGCCCGCTGGTTGTCCCGTCTGACTACCGACCTACCTGCCTGGCTTGGCGGTGGTAATCCAATTACAGTTCCGTGAGACCCCCACAAACAAGTGCCGAACCAAACCGAACCGAACCGCTAACTGAATTTACCGTTGCGCGTGTTTCTGGCACCGACGGCAAACGTGTGGGTCCTACCCGTGGATCCCACCCGACAGCGGAACCGACGCATTGTATGCAACATTTTTTTCCTGTGCTGTTTTTTTTCTCAGTTTCAATCCGCGTCACACGAAAGCAGAGAAACTACCGCCCAACAAAATAAAAGCCAACGAAAGCTAAGCTAAATATTCTCGAGTGCAGTGCTGAAGAATCCAGAGAATCGAATAAGAATCAGAATAAGAATCAAATTATAAAGAGAATCGAGAGCGCCGAGAGAGGGAGCGCGTTGAGAGATTTGGTGCATTTGATATAGTTGATCCTGCATGCAGGACACGCGTTAAAATCGTCCAAGTAAGTGCTTCAAGATTTACTCGCCAACAACATTCGACGCCTCAAGGGCGTTCAAGCTGGAGGAGGATTTCGTCGGCGGCTGCATGACAATGTCGATGTACTCGACAACGGATAAAATGAAAATGTCAGCGCCCAGTTGTTTTCCAGGACGCTACAGTCCCTCCTATCGAAGTTCGGAGCAAATGCGGCGCTGCATGCCAAATCCATCTGTAAGTATCCATCCCCTCCCATCATTATGGCTTTGTAGCCCTCCAATTATTAGATGGAGCAGCTATCCACGATGATCAGAGGGTTTCCTTAGAGAGTTTAATAGAATCCAAACATCAATTGATAAGAGAAAAATCTGAAAATGATATTCTAAAAGTATTATTATTGATGAAAAGATTAGACTTATTTATTTCATAAAGTTTCATAAAAGTGAACATAATGCTCCCTATATTTACGAACACATTTAAACTTTGACTCTGACTTAATCTACTCTATTAGGTTCGCATATTTAAAACCCTTAAAGGCTTTCCTTCTTAGTCGAAAAATGTTCTTTGACTTTTCTCCATATTTCCCCATTGTTTTAATTGTTTTCGTAGCTCTTCAAAAGCTGAATATATATTTCCAATTGTTAAACCCAATAGGACTTCAATTAGTTCCAGTAAGTCTTACATTTTACATTCTGATTGGAAATATATGCAAAAAGACTGATCAGCGTTAAAGCAAAATCTATACAAGGTTCAATGAGAAATCGAGTGTGAATCCTGTTAAGTACTGAACGTAAAATGTAGCGATTTCCTTGATAACTAAATGAATATATAACCGAAGAGAGTGCCCGCATTTTTGGTGCTTAGAACTAAAACCAACAATGATTATTTAATTATGTTTTCGTACGTCTACGAGCTGTTACTTGTTATTAATCAATCAATATTCAAAATATTTGTATACATTATCAAAACCTTTATTCACATATCAGAGCTTTCATTGTTCAGAATTTGTACCATAAATTAGGCTGTCCTTGGATAGCTCTTTAAGGGCACTATATATTTAACAGAAACAGGCGCCTACAAAAAATAAATAAGCACAGCCATTACTGGGTCATATACTAAACACTTTGATTGATAGCCAATTCAAAATTGATGAGGAACTTGCAATCCATTTTTTACAATGTTCACTCGAATGATCCCTTAAGTATGGCCATAACGTTTTAGACGCAGAACTCACACAGATCCCGTGGTATTATTCTCTTCAAAGGTGCAAAAGAAGTGTTTCGCAATAGTTTTATTGCTACTGGATTATCTTAGTTCTTTATCAGAATAGTCTTCTTTATTCCTTATTGAAAACCGTCCTACGACAGCCCAGTTAGGGAGTTCCATCTGAGTTCCATCTACAGCCTATGTACATACCTACATATCTATATGCGAGTACAATGTCAGGGTCTTGTATTAATAACGAATAATCGGGCGGATTTGGCAGACGTCTCGCAGTTCACCCGACTTTCTGAATCTTTTATGAGGCTCGAGTTAAAAATTGAATAGGAACACGGGCAGACATTAAATGGTTATTACCGACAGTTCTCAGACTGGTTTATTGATGCCAGTCTGGTCACTGACATCAGGAAGCAACACGGCATGGAGCATTGCGGAAACGGAGAGCGACACACAATTGTAAGTGACGTGAACTTCACTCGCATTTTCCATTTTCCATTTGCCATTTGCCATTTCCACTCTTCCACGACGACTGCCGTTGCCAACGGCAAGGCAACATTTGTCTTAATTATTGCATGAGAGTCGCAAAAGTTGCCGACTTCTCTCAGCGGCCTCAGCCTAGCCTAGATTTATTGAGCTTATGCGGCCCACAAATGGCCCTAGCTGGTGCCGGGTAACCTTGAAAAGCGTTTTGTAATTAATTAGCATTAATTATTTATCCACTATCCTATTGTATGCGCTGACCAGAGAGACAAATAAAAAACTGCTTAAACAAAGAGAGTCAACAAAAATAAAAAATTTTACGTACGAAGCGGAGTATGCACTGGATAGTTAATGAACACTCTTACATAAATATTTGTTTATAATAAG